TTTTTTCCAAATTACCATTGGATAGATAGTTTCCTGCTCCTATCGCTACATTCATATCTTTCTTATTGTCAACCTTTTATCACTTCCTACATATTCAATCCATATGTTATATAAACCATGTAAAATTCCTAATTTAGTACCATTTATGTTTCTCTATATAGATTTTACAATCTGCATACATTAACATTCGTATGTTCTTCATACTTATTTTCGTGAGTTCATACATTTAAAGCTGATGACTGTCCACTTTTCCGTTTCATTTCTACCTGTGTCTTGAGTTTTTTTAGCCTCCCTTTCATAAAAACTTTAATTTGCCGCTGCACATATCGTTTTTATTATTTATTTATTTAATTTTATATATATATATATATATATATATATATATATTTGGTGTTCTAAACAATATGAAATTACAATTTCTTTGTTATATGTGTTTCTTCTTATGTTGCTGTTTCTACTTTCCCGTTATAACACGTCGTTGTTTATGATTTACATATCTGATGCTTTAGAGAATAAAGACCAGCTTATGCCCAGATCATCTTATATAACAAATGTAATCCCACCTGTTGATCCTTTTGAAAGGTACATTATTGCAGATCTATACACCATTGAGTTCCAAAAAAGGGGTCTTCCCCATTGTCATACGTTACTCTGGGTATCTGCTGCCAACCGTATAAAAATTGGAAGTGATGTTGACAAGTATATCACAGCTGAGTTGCCAGATCGAATTAAGGAGCCAAAACTATACGAGACGATAACAACCTGCATGATCCATGGTCCATGTGGACCACTTAACCAAAAAGCTCCATGTATGAAAGAAGGCAATGCAGCAAACACTTCCCTAAACCGTTTCTTGATGCTACGTTTTTTGACACAGATGGATATGTACGTTACAAACGTACGTCAACTATACGCCACACTACTGAATATGGACAGATTGTTGACAACGGATATGTTGTGCCCTATAATAAAAGGCTTTGCTCACGATTCTGTGCACATATAAATGTTGAGTATTGTGGTTGGAGCATGATGATCAAGTACCTATTTAAATATATTTCCAAAGGTACAGATCGTGTCAGATATACTATCCAAAAGGAGGGATCTTCTGATGCATCACCCAGTTCAGTGCATACTGGTAATCATGACAGAAGTCGAAATGAGGATTACCGTCCTATAAATAAGGTCCAAATTTTTTTGGATGGGCGGTATATATGTCCACATGAGGCGGCATGGCGGATATTGGACTTCCACATACATCATCGGCATCCACCTGTTCAGATTCTAACCGTTCATGAGGAAAATATGCAACAATTGGTGTTCAATGGAGACAGCTCAATACCCGAAGTATTATCTAATCCATATGCCAGCATTACTACCCTGCTTGGGTGGTTCAAAAGCAATTCAACGGACCCTGAAGGCCATGATTTGACATATCTGGACTATCCAAAAAATTACAAATGGGATAAGTCAAGTAAGTGTTGGGGTCGTAGGGTTTACGAATCATCAAAAGCGGTAGGCCGCCTTGTATTTGTACATCCGACTTCCGGTGAGTTATTCTATTTACGGATGTTACTATGTCACCAAAAAGGATGTACATCGTTTGAGGATTTACGTACTGTTGCTGGTACTGTCTATCCAACTTTCAGGGCGGCCTGTAATGCACTTAGATTAATAGGTGATGATATCGAGTGGTTGACATGTTTCACAGAAGCTTCGACATGGGCAAATGCATCACAGCTACGATCACTTTTCTGTCATCTACTGCTGTTCTGTGAGGTTAGCAATCCACTTTTGTTGTGGAATACTGCATGCGATAGGATGAAAGATGACTACTTACATACCCTTAGAGTCGAAGTACCAGATAAGACAATTACCTCTGCTGCTGCTGAAATTGTTGAACACAACTACTTCATGATTTAGATGACACGCTCCGTTCCGCTGTCCCATCTACATCAATGGCAGATTTTGGTCTTCCAGTTCCGTCAGTGAATGTGATTGGTGTTTTACAAAATCGACTGCTATTGGAAGAAATGAGTTATGACAGGGAAGCACTACTGAAACAGCACAATGATCAATTACCAAAGCTGAACAACGACCAACGATCAGTCTATGACAGAGTTGTTACTTCCATAAAGAATGAAACGCAAATATTAATGTTTGTTTATGGACACGGTGGTACTGGTAAAACATTCTTATGGACGACTATTCTTTCGTATCTAAGATCAATAGGGAAAATTGCTTTGGCTGTTGCTGCATCTGGAATCGCATCACTTTTGTTACCCTTTGGAACAACTGCACACTCAAGATTCAAAATACCTATTGATTTAAACAACAAAAAGTCGTGTGATATAAAAAAGCGTACCTTCCTTGGAGATCTTATGCAACATACAACACTCATTATCTGGGATGAGGCACCAATGAGTGACAGAAGGTGTTTTAAATTTTTGGACCGTTCACTTAGAGATGTGCTAGACTGCGATGAAAAACCGTTTGGAGGCATATCAGTGCTTCTTGGTGGTGATTTCCGCCAAACTCTTCATGTTCTACCAAAAAGTACACGTTCTGGAATTATAGCACTAACTCTACCAAGTTCGTATTTATGGACATATTTTATACTTCACTTTTTACATACGAACATGAGACTAGAGTCCTCTAACACAATACCCCACGCCTCAATGACTTTATCAGACTTTGCCACATGGCTGCTAGCTATTGGTAATGGACATATAGGTGTGCCTGACAAAGATGACCCACAGGACTCAAGTTGGATACAAATTCCATCTTCACTCCTAATATCACCTTCTCCCAATTCCCTACAAACCTTAATTGATTTTGTGTATGGGGATGGTGCACTTAATGAACCGACTGCCACACTGCTTTCAGCAAGAGCGATAGTTTGTCCCACAAATGATTCGGCTGATGAGATAAATGGTCATGTTTTGAAAATGGTGACAACAGGTGGCAGGATATACAATAGCACGGACACCATTCAGCCGAATGGGAAACACACATCGGACTTGGAAGGCCTCTATCCAATAGAATACCTGAACCACCTAACCTTTCCAGGAATACCACCACACGAGCTTCTACTTAAGGTAGACTGTCCAATAATGCTGTTAAGAAACATAAAATAGAGATAAGGCTTATGCAATGGTACCCGTATGATTGTTTCACAATTGTTACCAACTGTTATTGAAGCGACAATCATAACAGGCACTTCGATTGGAAAACGTGTATACATACCACGCATAAAGTTCATACATAAGTCAGCAGATCTGCCATTCATCTTCTCACGAAAACAGTTTCCACTGAAAGTCTGTTACGCAATGACTATCAACAAGAGTCAAGGACAATCACTACGTAAGATTGGAATATATTTGTCACAGCCTGTCTTTGCACATGGACAGCTCTATGTTGCCCTCTCCCGAGCAACATCTCCAGATTCCATAAAGATACTAATAAACAGCAGTGACACGACTAAAACCAACGAAACAAAAAATGTTGTCTTCAAAGATTTACTACGCAGAGTGACTTCAAGCGAGGTCTACAGTATCACTGCCTGTTATACCCTTCATCACCGTTACTACTTTTCATTTTATTCATATGTTCTTCAATGTTTCAATAGTTTTTAGATGTTTATACAATATTATTTTTTCATCCAAATATCTTGCTTACCTCCGCACATTTCTTTATAATAGAAAACACAAACAAGTAATGACGAGTATCTCAGAACTCAAAGCTGAGGGTATCGGAGGCCCCTTACAAGTTAGAATACTACGCAAATGGAAACACGATGTCCGCCAATATGAGACGTGGTACCTGGCTGTTGACAGATTTGTAAGTTACCACCAAAATATATTACACTAAAAACAGGTTTCAAATTGCAATTTTTCAGCAAATGAAAGGTCTATCAAGAAAATTATTATTTATTAAAAATATAAGGAAAAGAGGTTTTGGATTTAAAATTTTCAACAAATTTGAAATTTGTATGAAGAAAATTCTTAATTATCACTCTTTAATATTGACAAACCAAACCGCTTTGTTGCTTAAAAAACACGTATGATTACCACACGATACAATTCTATAACAATAAAAACACATCTAATACCATTCAATCTAATGTTATAATAATCTGTTTCTACAGGGAGATGCAATTCAAATTCTTGGACAGCGAACAAATCAGAGCTACATTGAATCTGTTTTCAATGTTTCAGAATGTTACATCATATCAGATTATAGCTGTCCTCAGTTAGACAAGTATCAAAAAGTTCTTGAAAATGAGTTCTATATTGATGTTGGTCTCAAGTCCATCATACAACCAATTCCAGACACAATAACAGTTCCAAAAAGTTGGTTTCGCTTCGTATCAAAGTCAAATCTGATACAACTCGGAGAAACACCACCATACTATCCAGGTATTTATTAAAAACCTCGATATAACTGAAATGTAAATTTGTATTACTTATAATTTCTACAAAATACCATGGGAATCACTTTTGTACATCTGACAAAAAAAAAATTATTCATTTCATCCCAAATCTTAAAGGCAATAATCCAGGCCCATTATTGAAATACATAATTCTAACTTTTCTAAAGCAAAACAGTATTTCCCATAATAAGTATCCATGATATAAAAAATTTAACCCAAAATTGTTCTTATTGGTCATTTCATAGTTTTTGGCCTTTTTCTTATTTGCCTCCAAACATCAACAGACGTATATTTGTTAGCTTTGAAATTAAAAAAAAAAAAAAAAATTTGAAGGTGGGAAATAACCAATATGAACAATCTGGAGATAAATGTTTTATATTATTCAAAGTGATTGTTCATATTTGGTTGGTTTTTTTTTTTTTTTTAATTTCAGACTTGACAAATATACGCCTGCTGTTCTTTTGAGGCTAGGAACAAAAAGGCCAGAAACTGTGAATTGACAAATATGAACAATTTCGAGGTAAAGTGATTGTTCATATTTGGTTTTGTTACATACTTCCACTTACTTCTAAACAGACTTCATTGGCGTTCTATCAAAGATAAGAGATTGCACGAAAGCAAATAGAGAACCATTTGTGTTGCTTATACTAACTGATGAAAGGTATACATACTAATTATGAAACTACACTCATAAATTCTATCATCACCGCCTAACACCAAAAACAATTGAAATCCCATTAGTGGCAGTGAACTTGCAATCAATCTATGGAAAGAATGCATAACCAATCCACAGAAATTCAACTGTGCCTCCCTAGATCACCCATCTACAACAACGGTTGTTGCAATAACAAACCTAAAACCATCAACATCCAATGGTACACTCCTCTGTATGACTCCATATATATATATATATATATATATATATATATATATATATATATATATATATATACACATCATATCTTCTAATATTCTTAATCACCAAATACGTTCTATGCAGGAGCATTACGGCACGGCTCATCACATGCTACACATATCTATGTCAATCCAGATATACCGGAGACAACATCACTCATAAGTCTGTAAGTCACATAAATTACACAAATATGGTAGAATCCATATTATTTCAATTCTATACCAACAAGAACATGGTTTCAGATTCACAGGTCCCTCAAGGCCGATACCAGCACTATCAGGAACTCCCTCAACCCTATACAACATGAAACTGAAAAACAGATCTGATCTACTGGTAACACAATATGAATAATATAAGTATATACAAATACAATCTCTTTCCCACTCTGACAACTATTTGCTTTTTATCTATAGGATAAAACATTCATAGTAGAAGCTTCAATCAAGGAATTTCACTTTCAAAACAGCTGGTACCAAACAACATGTCCAATCTGTAAAGATCCGATTTTCAGAAGAGGCGAACAGTGGTATTGCAGTGCACATGGACTCATTGAAAACCCAACCTACACGTAAGTATCTTCTCAAGCATACAGAAAACCATTATTCACCAACTACACTGCTTACAAGTTCTTTATATCAATAGATGCAAATTCACAGTCACCATTACCGACACTACGAACACCATACCTGCGGTTGTATCCGAAACAGCGTCTCGGAAGCTGTTAAAATCATCACTTCAAAAGTTTATATCTGACAACCCGCTCACAAGCAGAAACAGCCTCCCTTCCATCATCACTGATCAAAAAGAACAAACAAAAACAATGTGTATCCAAATGCTTAGGACATCAACAACTTGACAACATCCGTTTCATAGTAATTGACATCTAAGAATCAACAACGCCATCAGAGACACCTGTCCCAACAACACCAGCCGTACCGCGGATGACAAGAATGCGACCAGATGACGGAACACCAGAGCCAAGCAGACCTCCTCGCCCTGTGGCACGCACTCTCACCTTCACTCCACCAGGTAAAAGTTGATGTACTGAAATAAAAAATAAACAACAAAATACCAAAACAAATACTAATACCTTTTCATTTCTCCTATCACAGGGCCACCACCACCAAAAAATCAAAAACGAACCACAAAATAGCAGATATCATGAAACAGCACTAAGAAATCCAACTTTTGTTTTGGACAATATGTTTATCTTTTGTAACAGACATGCTAAACAACTATCATATGTAATATAAACAATAATAAACAGACACCCTTTGCATGCTTCCACTTTTCCAAAATTTCACAAAAAACAACCTATACAAATGATACTTACATAACAATGTCATATTTAATATCACACTAATATAAGCGACATACTTATCCTACTCTATATTAATATGAATCACCACATATACAATTAAATAAATTTATATACAACAACAATTAACAATTTACAAACTACATCAATGAAAACAGATACCATAGAGTTAAAAGTAGTGTATTCAAATACATATACATGCTACAAAGCATATTGAAGAGTAGCCAACTATTAATTTCGATTCTTATATTATCCCATTTTCCAAAACAAATATACCTCTTGTAGTCAAAGATTTCCCCAGATATTACCCATTTAACACCACACCCAAACCCAACAATCACATCTATCAAATAAAGGAAAAAAGGGTCACAGCCACCCTAATTCACTGCCTCTAATAAATACAATCCAACAACCACAATAATCTCCTATAAAATCATACACCAAAGATACCGACTTCTCCACCAAACACCAAACATACAACATGGAAGCCATCATGCAGAAACTTCAAGACCAACTCCAGACAATGAAGGAATCACTGGCAATCGTTCAAAGCACATACACCACCATCATGGAGACAAGGGCAAATATGATAAAAGAAGCACCGGTCGACATGCCGTACACCCACATTGTCATCACGGACACCTTCATCAAAGACCTCGACCAAGACACCGTCATTATGTTGGACATGTTCGAAACGATGCAAGACAACATGAGTTCAGCAACAGACATCTGCAGGAAGATCATTCGAGACCATGAAGCACCATGACGATAAATACCAGTCCAACACTTTTGTAATGAAATGTTCTATAGTCATCCTTTAATGGATCGACAGTTTTGTAATCGAATATCCTATAACAATCCACTAATGAATGATAACTTTTGATGCTTATCCCCTAATATATTTATCTATTCTATAAACGGATTCCTTATATGTGAAAATACATACAAAATTTTCTGACCAAAACTTCTAACCGAGATCATATGCCGACATCAGGTCCCTCTGCCCCCCGCGAAGCGGGGGTTAGCAATCTAGTTCTTATTAAATATCATTACAAATAATTTTTGAATAAGTGACACTTTTTATTAAAGAAATCACATACACAACACATAACAACAAGAATAGGTTTCTTTTGGAAATTAAGTAAATTAACTATTATATAAGATATCTTTAATAGAAATAACAAATATTTTTTTTTTGAAAATTGATCACCTTCTTTAGAATAGATTATTACGGAGAAGTACTATACATTCAAGATTGATGTGATTGGTAAGGATTCGATTCCAACCGTACATTATTGTAAATCCATTTTTCCATGTTTTTTTTCATGAATTTAGTTTAGTTTGTTCTTGTTTATCATACTTGAAGTGTATCTGATCGATACAAACCATCAATACAACCATCGCTACACCAATTCTCAATGTTGCCCCGGTATAGCAAGAACATACCATGCATCCTTACCATGGCATATAAAAGACAGAGTTTCAACGGTTTCATGTCGACTATAGGTGCTTGCGTCATGACTATTCTGCCCATTACCACAGTGTTTGTGAGATGAATGATGAGATAGTGGACCTTAGAGAAGACTTTTATTCCTACCGAGAGAGCTAACAAGCACATAACCAAATTGTGACCGATTTTATGTCTGACATCCATCATGTGGTGTGTATGGGTGGTCAGCCAACACGAACACCCATATTACCCTCAATATTTGTAGCAATAGCCAACTCAGTATCTGCAGCAGTATCCTTTGAAAGACCTTGTATGCCCAAGAGTCATTATAGAATGATATTGCTAATAACTTGTGATCATATAGGGTCACACCTTATAGCAAGTTACCATCAATTGATTATTTATTAGTATAATTTGATTATTAATAAATATATGAGCACTTGGAAAATTATTATTTTACGAAAATAATATTTTCTTAATTGGGAATCTATTATTTATGAAAATAATATTTATTGGAGAAAAAAACAACTTATGAATCATATCATAAAGTATGTTTATTTATATGTTATATTTATCTCATTAAACTAGTTAGAGTTTATTTGTATGTAACTGTGATTTGTATAAAAGAGACAACATATATATATATATATTAACATATATATATATATAATATAATATATATATATATATATAATATATATTATAGTATAATATATATATATAATATATATATATATAGTAGTTATATCAAGTAAAAGACGGAACAAAACGTGAGTTTCTTTTAAATTGTTTAATAAGCTAGACCATGCTTGTAAGAGACATGTTCTTTCCTTTTGTTTATTATATGTTCCATGCATGTAAGATACATGCTTTTAGTTTTTCTTTTTGGTCTACATTAGATGGAAGATAAAATGGGAAGACATGCAAGCATTTGGAGCTAGATTTTACTTGTCGTTTCCTTCTTTTTTGTGAAGCAAAACCGAGAGCTCCTAGAGCTCCCAGGACTGCGAAATTTATGTGGTGCTACAAGTGAAGGCATAAAGTGTTAGTTCTCTTTAGATATATTTTGTATATGTCTTAAAGCTTAAGAACAACATTTTAGAAGTGAAATATTGGTATGTTTTGATGGTTCTACTCTTGTTTGGTGGATACTTCTAGAGAACTCTTGTTGTAGAGTTTCATGTCATCTTCATCAACTTCCAACCTCCCATGAGGATCAAAGTCTTCAATGGTTATTATGCTTTCTCTTATATGATTGTTTTAATTTTTCAAAGTCTTGCAAAATGATCTTTTGGTAGGAATAAAACAAGTTCTATTTTGTTCAAATCTTAACTCTTTTTTTGCATTGTTTATGTTTTTGAAACAATTTTTGAATAAAAACTCAACAATTAGTATCAGAGTCATTTTTCCAAGATTAGTTAGATTATTTGTTAAGTTATTATTTTTGGACAACATGGATGGTTTTCTCTTTGCAAGAAAAATCCTTACATATTTTCCATGACAACTTTTGAAATGTTTATAATTGTTACTTTTATAACTAGAAGTTTAGATGCATATTTTTATTCATAAAGTTGTCTTAGAAAAAAAATAGTTGTTTTATATGATTTTGAGTATATAAATGTGTATGATGTACATAAAATAGTCATGGACCTTGTGTTGTTGCATGTTGCTGAATTTTTACTTTCAATAAGCTTTTCAATACCCTTGTGTTGTTGCATGTTGCATGTTGCTGAATTTTTACATAAATGTGTATGATGTACATAAAATAGTCATGGACCTTGTGTTGTTGCATGTTGCTAACCGGCAACTTCTGAACCGATGACCCTTCGGCTTCCCGAACTATCAATACCCAAAATAAAATTTAGACCACAATAATCCAAAAGTCAACCCTGGTCAAAGTCAACGGTCAAAGTCAACATCCAGTTGACCTGACTCGCCGAGTTGGTCTACCAACTCGTCGAGTCCATACTCCAATCCCAAAACAACCTCGACTCTACTCGTCGAGCCTAGCAAGAACTTGACGGGTTCTCCTTCAACCATGCCACTGGGACCATCTTCAACCGACTCGTCGAGTTCATCATCCACATATGAATGTGTCTAGTCTGTGACTCGCTGAGTTGTATGAACAACTCGTCGAGTCCATCTTCATAAACTAAGGAGATTGCCTTAGACTCGCCGAGTTCTTCCTTGAACTCGTCGAGTACGATGAACTTCATGACCATCATGGACTCGGGCCGACTGAGTCCCTTTCCAAACTCAACTCATACCCTTAATAGAAGGGTTTTGGGGCAAGAACTGGCCTGACTCGCCGAGTCCCACAACTGACTCGCCGAGTCTCTCTATGTTCAACACTATTCAGACGATTTCTGAGGGTCTCAAGGCACCCAAAACATAGATCTGGACCCAACCATCTCCTAACCATGCAAAGCTACCGCCTTTTTCCTTCATTCATGGCCTTTTGAGCTAAAAAGGCCAAAAGAACACTTCATATGCTTGCATGGGGATTCCTATGGCATAAAGCTTGCACCTTTATGCTATAACAGCCCTTAATAGTGCTAGATCTGAAAACACAAGCTCTTGGGACGTCCATTCCTCTCATGCTAGGGTTCTTGGACTAAAAACCCCCAAAATGAAAAAGAAGAGAGATCTACATGCATAATGATCAAGGTGGAAACTTTCTTACCAGAAAATGGAGGAGAATGCAAGTGGTTTCTGGATCTACTAGTCTCTTCTTGAACCCAAAGGCTTCACCTTCTTCTTCAAGCTTCACAACACTCAAGAAAGTTCACAAAGGCTCACAAACTCATGGGAGGCACTAGGGCTTCGTTCTGGAGTTGAGAGAGCATCAAGGAGGCTGATGAAGGGTTATAATGTTCCTTAAATAGGGTGCAAGTCCCGCATTTAGGGTTTTCCCCAAACCTGGCCAACTCGCCGAGTCAGTCCTCTGACTCGTCGAGTAGGTCACTTAACTCGCGACCCTATTCGCGCTCCTACTCGTCAAGTCACTCCATCTACTCGACGAGTCCCTTCCTTAATTTGAGGTTTTCTTTCCTTTCTAGACCTCCTGAATTCGGGGTGTTACAACTCTCCCCCACTTAAACTAGACTTCGTCCTCGAAGTCCGCCATGGTCAACTACCTTACAATCCACTTACAACTTTACGCACTTCACCCATTAGGTCCATCCCTGGATATCTCATCCTCAGAATAATTCAATCATTACTACCTTCGAGTACAACACCTTTACCCAACCGGTAACCTTACTGATACTCCTATTACACTTACCCTTGATACACAAGGGGTTTACCCTTTTACCATGCACTGTCACCGGCCTTTCCAAGGCACTTTTTACAAGCAACAAACCTTCCCAATCTCCTTCGAGGACCAATCCTCTGCTGGAACCGCAATCCCGGCCACTCCCAGTGTCGGCCATCATACCAATACTCACGAAATAATCCCACATACAATGCTCCAATACTGAAAACTCCACCCAGCGTGAGAATTCGGACAATCCTTCGAGTAGCAGATCCATATCTACTATGTTTAAGGCTCAGACGAGAACGGCATTACCGAGCCAAATCATTTACTCTGAGATCATTTGATTCCGCGGTGAGCAACTTAGCATCACCCGATCAGCTCACGGCTTTTTGCACCAAATCCCTTACCATCATTCCTGCCTAAAGTCCTGCCGACTCTCATCCGCCTACCGGATGAACCGAGACCACCCTGGTCCCAACTGATCTACCATTACCCGAAATACCGGTCCCCCACCGGTTACCAGACGCAAGAACATTCCCTCAATCGCTCCCAGCGACTCATGAAGATACCGCGACTACCTGAACTGCTCTACCAACCCAGCCACTCTGGCTCTAGAAGATCTTGGGTCCTCGACCCCTACCTTACCCTAAGGTCTCTACCAGGTCCCACCTGTTGCTAAAAGAACACGGGCCTCGCACACGGGTCTCACCCAACTATACTTCGGAGCGGCCTCTCCCACAGGTCTCACCTATCCAGTGCTATGCAGACCCACTCATCCTCTGATCTCAACTAGCTAAACTTTTCTGATTCTTATCATGTTAACTTGGAGATACGGGCCCCCGCCCACACTCCGTGAACTAGGAGATACGGGCCCCCGTCCACACTCCGCTAACTAAGCTACTAATCAATGCTACGGCTTACCCGCAGTCTTACATCACTTCCCTCACTGTCTCGCTGCTGGGGAATGCTGTGACTACCCCGCAACCTTATATCCCGACTAAACTCTCACCTGCCGAAGGCTCTCCGACCTGTTTTCCCCGAACCTGCCATCAACTACTCG